TTTTCATGACAGTTCAAGCTGCAAATATGGACTATTACAAGAACAAATTCACACAATTTCAAAACTTCTTGTCGTTCTCTCTACAGGATATCCCATAAGTTTTCATACATATGGCGCCCCCTTGCCACAGGTTGGGGACCACTAAGGTAATGGCAAACATACAAACACTGACAGTAAACAGCAGATTCCAGACTGCCGCATAAGATAGAAGGAAAACAATGACAGCAACAACCCCATCCTGGCTGGAGTGTGATTTTAATTGTCTGGATCTCCTTGAACAATTTATGATGTAAGTATTTCGGGGCAGTTTCTCAAAATGGGTTCAGTTAAAGAGGAACAGTCCAAGCTCTGCTACCTTAATAAATGGAATAATGGGTTTTTAGTGAATACACACTGGGTATAGCTCTTGTCACAGATTTATCAATATGTTTTCAGTACATTTAAATCAACATAACTCTCTTCATAAATATATCAATGGTTTTTAGTGCACATAGTCAGCAGAGCAACTTTCAAAAAGGCAATGAGGGATTTTAAGTAAGCGTATATCGGGCATAGCTCTATTCATAAATAAAATGGGTTTTAGTGTGTATTCTCTGAGGTAAAGCTCTATTCATAATTGAAATAATGGTTTTTAGTACATCCACACTTATGTTACCATCCCCTTCACACATGTAATGATGGTTTTTAGATGGTTTTTTAGTACATCCACCGATGTTTTGTCATAACCCCCTTCACACATGTAATGATGGTTTTTAGTACATCCACTGATGTTATGTCATAGCCCTCTTCACACATGTAATGGTTTTTAGTACATCCACTGATGTTATGTCATAACCCCCTTCACACATGTAATGATGGGTTTTTTGTACACCCACTGATGTTATGTCATAACCCCCTTCACACATGTAATGAAGGTTTTTAGAACATCCACTGATGTTATGTCATAGCTCTCTTCACACATGTAATGATGGTTTTTAGTACATCCACTGATGTTATGTCATAGCTCCCTTCACACATGTAATGATGATTTTTAGTACATCCACTGATGTTATGTCATAACCCCCTTCACACATGTAATGATGATTTTTTAGTACATCCACTGATGTTATGTCATAGCTCCCTTCACACATGTAATGATTGGTTTTTTGTACACCCACTGATGTTATGTCATAGCTCTCTTCACACATGTAATGATGGTTTTTAGTACATCCACTGATGTTATGTCATAGCTCCCTTCACACATGTAATGATGATTTTTAGTACATCCACTGATGTTATGTCATAACCCCCTTCACACATGTAATGATGATTTTTTAGTACATCCACTGAAGTTATGTCATAGCTCCCTTCACACATGTAATGATTGGTTTTTTGTACACCCACTGATGTTATGTCATAGCCCTCTTCACACATGTAATGATTGGTTTTGTGTACACCCACTGATGTTAAGTCATAGCCCTCTTCACACATGTAATGATGGTTTTTAGAACATCCACTGATGTTATGTCATAGCTCCCTTCACACATGTAATGATGATTTTTAGTACATCCACTGATGTTATGTCATAGCTCCCTTCACACATGTAATGATGGTTTTTAGTACATCCACTGATGTTATGTCATAACCCCCTTCACACATGTAATGATGATTTTTAGTACATCCACTGATGTTATGTCATAACCCCCTTCACACATGTAATGATGATTTTTAGTACATCCACTGATGTTATGTCATAGCTCCCTTCACACATGTAATGATTGGTTTTTTGTACACCCACTGATGTTATGTCATAGCTCCCTTTACACATGTAATGAGGAATATATTTCTTACACATAAACAGACGAGAGTTCTCTTTACAAACATAGTCACTCTATCCCCTGCATAAACAACTGTGGCATTTATTCAGTGAGTGCAAAAATACCTACACATATAATATCATATTGTCAAACCAAGGTTAAATAAATAGAAGAAAAAAATCAATTTCCAAAAACAAGGCTCTGATTCATACAATTAGTAGAAAAACAAAAACCACCATAACAAAACAATGTCAAGATACTTTCAAGATGTACAAGAATGCAGAAGCCAGATCTTTTTTGTGCAGGTTATCAAAGATAATTTACATGCAGAAATATGAATCCCTTGGCAATCAGAGAAAAAAGAAACAAAACAAATTAATGCTTGTGTTCTCAAATCATGAACATTACAGAGAAAATCATTGACAATTTAAAAAAGGATATCAGTCAAGTAAATAAATTTAATAATTTCAAATGAATTCATAAATAAATGATAACCTATCGTAATATAAAATGAAAAAATTAACAACAACAAAATTTTAGGCAGCTTAAAAAAATGTCTGATAAATTGTAAAAGTAATCTAAAATCACTTCAGTAATATAATTCGGGTTAAAAAAAAAATGGGGATAATGTTTACACAACATCAGACCAGTTTATTAAGTCTTTGAGTCCCAAGGAACGCAACATACATTCATAGGTTCCTACATAGAAGCCCAATGAACGCATGATGCGTTGATTTTATGACTCTCTTTACTACCCCCTGGGCCTGTGATGCTAAACCCCCTGGGACTCAAAGAGTTAATGTCAATCAAGTGGTATTTAATAATTAAAAACAAAAGAAAATCTTTTCAATGAATAACAAGATGCACACTGGCTGTTGGAACTCCAACACAAGATAAAACAAGCAACAAACAACAGGACAGCAGAAAGTGTCAACCGTCTTCTTCAAGTTCCCTATGCTTCCTGCGTAGTTACTGGGGCATTACTTTGGAGAGCAAAGAATAGACCCAATGCCTCTCTAATAAGCATGTTGTAGGAAGTAAATAATTAGAAGTTTTTTTTTTCCAAAGTCAGAATGCATCGCCTCAGAGGCAAGGAACCAACAATCTGCACACAAAAAAGTCAGATCGGCAAAACAGATGTGTATGCAAAATCCAAGTTCTGAATCAAGACCAAAATCCAGGAGTAGACGAACAAGCATAACTTTCTGCCAGAGTTTACAGCCGGTGAACTCAATAAAAAAGAAAAGTTCTCTGTGCAGGTTTCAGGCCCTTATTTTGGAAGAAAAAAAGTGAAGAAACCTGCCATAGAAATCTCTCTAGCAGCTACCTATCATTTTCTCCCCATTAAAAAATGAGAAGGAAGCAATATAACATCACATAAACTTCACAACAGTATGACATGTCTATGGGCAAGGGGTTAGAAGATCAAGAACCATATACCTCCCTTGACACCCAAAGTGGAAACAAAGAAAAAAGGAAGCAAGTTCTTATAGGAAAAACAGCCCTAACTTCAAAAGAATATGTTTACAGGCAGTCACAAAGATGAACATTTGATGAAATGATAAAAACATTATGCCTCCTATTGTAATTTAATAATTTCCTGCACAACATAAGGAAAAAACCAAACAAATACTGAGAAAATTTTTTAACAAACTTACTAATAATTAAGAAAAAAGCACTATCCCCATAATCCTTCTGGTTATAACCTCACACATTAAATGATTATCCAAAACCTTCAAGATGTACAAGGATGCTTCAAATGAACCTTAAAAGTGTAAAAGAAAAGACAATAACCATGCCACTGTAAACTGTTAATACTGTTGTTAGGGATGTGAAGACTAGTTGGCATGTAACACGCCGCAGATGAAACCTGTGACTGAAAGCCATGCATCACATCACCACTCATACACTTGCTGGACTGGCAGGCATACATCATATCACATCACCACTCATACACCTGCTAGACTGGCAGGCATACATCATATCACCACTCATACACTTGCTGGACTAACAGCCATACATCACATCACATCACCACTCATACACCTGCTAGACTGACAGGCATGCATCACATCACCACTCATACACTTGCTGGACTGGCAGGCATCACATCACCACTCATACACTTGCTTGACTGACAGGCATACATCACATCACCACTCATACACTTGCTGGACTGACAGGCATACATCACATCACCACTCATACACTTGCTAGACTGACAGGCATACATCACATCACCACTCATACACTTGCTGGACTGACAGGCATCACATCACCACTCATACACTTGCTTGACTGACAGGCATCACATCACCACTCATACACCTGCTGGACTGACAGGCATCACATCACCACTCATACACCTGCTGGAGTGACAGGCATACATCACATCACCACTCATACACCTGCTGGAGTGACAGGCATACATCACATCACCACTCATACACTTGCTGGTATGCATCATTATACTGGACTTTCACTGGCCGATCAATTTCCTAAGGTTTCATCTATTCACTGATTTAAAAAAAGGATAAAAGAAAGCTGTTTCTCTTTGGTGCATGTCAAATGTGGGGTGGCCATCTTTAAACTGTCATAATAACAGCACCATGTTTATCTGCACTGTAATGTCACATGATTAAGACTCTTTACATCCTTAGCAGCAATACAGACAGGTTACAAGACAATGGAACAGTTAATGGAATTTCTGACACACTTCTAAGGTTTTCATTTGAAGCCTCCTTGCACTACCAAACTGCTATTACCCACAGACATGATACAAAAGCATCTCCCAATATAACAGCTACACATTTAATCACATCTCAACAGCCCAGTGAAATGGGTCAACGTGTCACCATACATAAATATGATATTTCAGCATTTATCTATATCAGCGGTTCTCAATCTGCGGGTCACGACCCTTTTGTTGTTGTTTGAATGACCCTTCAACAGGGGTCGCCTAAGACTATCGGGAAACACATATACACTGAAGTTATGAATAAGTAACGAACATAACTGTATGCCTGTGGGTCGCTGTATTACAGGGTCGCGGCATTAGGAAGTTTGAGAGCCACTGATCTATATAAATCAAGAGTATATCTCAGCATTCTCCTTTGCAACAACCACACACTTTCTCTGCCCAATAATATTACATTTAGCTACTTCCCTACACACAGAAGACAAGAAAAATGAATACTTGAGCATCTATGCTAACTCCTCTACTCCATGATCCACAATGTGACTGAAGGAGAAGGGAATAAACATGTGCCCACTGCCTTCATAAAACTTGGACTGGAACTCGACCCTGAAAAGAAATGAAACAATCACAAGTTTCACCAAAGTTGATGGGTACATAGATACATCTGAGTTATCTCAGAAATAAACAGATATATTAGCTCTGAAATCTGGAGCACAACTAAAAACAACACAGCCTTATTACAAACTTCTGAGAACAAAGCCTTATGACAAATCTTTGGACCCATCAAAGATTAAAACAGTGAAGACTGCAGCATGAAAAGGAACAATGAAATTCGTAATCTTTTTAAATCACCACTCATTACTGGCAACATGCAAGCCAACAGACTGCAATAGCTGGGGCAAACAGAGAGAATAACATATGAAGGAGAGAAACAAAGGGAGTAGACCATGAGGCACGCCAAGAAGAGAAAAGAGAGGTAAGATACAGGCAGACCTGCAACAATTTAAGGCAACAAAGAGAAAGCCAAACACACAGATGAATGGAGGTTGGTTATTTCTGCAGCAATGAACCTCAAGGACTAAGAATGCTAAAGAAGATATGTTAGCTGACTTTAGTTTAAACAAAAATAATAAAAAAAGATAGGATGAAAAGAGACATATGTTAAATGACTTTAGTAAAGTGGATTTTCATGTTACTGAATATTATCAAAGATGATGGATATCTAACTTCTATGAAAGCTGATTGTTGACTATTGTAGTTATAAAAATTATAAGAAAATGTTCCATACCCTGATGCATAACGGGCACATGGATTTTTAAAAACACATTTCCACATTTTGATGCATAACGGGTGCATGGTTTAAAAAAAAAAACATTTCCACATCTTGATGCATAACGGGTGCATGGTTTAAAAAAAAACAAACAAACACATTTCCACATCTAAATCTAACCAGGACAAACCTGAAGAAGTCAGATGTGTCAGATGAAAAGCAAACATATCACAGCTATGCTTTAAAAAAGGACCATCATATACTACATTACTCTGACAAACATTTATTTGTAATGTGGTTCACATAGCTAATTATGCTATTTGGCCACCATATCTGAAAAACTAGCTTCTACCACATTCAACCACAAAAGAAATATACAACATTAATAACTTAAAGAATGCTGACACACAGGAAGCATACCTTGAAAAAATTACTGAAGAATATACCAGGCTGTCTAAAGAAATGTTTAAAGGATCAATTTTAGAAGCAACAAGAGAAACATGCGGAATGGTAAAGAGGAGAAGCACAAGACAATTTATAACACCCTCGCGGAACGAGGAAGTAAAAACAGCAGTGAAGGAAAAGAAATGTAGATACCAGTCGTGGGTGAAAAACAAAAATCAAGATGATCTTGAAAAATACAGAACGGCAAGAACGATAGCCAAAGATGTCAGAAACGCCAAAGAAACATCATGGCAGAAATACAGAGAAAAGTTAAATGCTGACCACAAAAGTGCTAAGAAAAACTTTCCATGCAGGAGCCACCCATCGTTAAATCAACCAGAACAGAATGGGAGTTGTTAGTCTAAAAACACAAGAAGACATACTTAGGAGGACAGCGGAGCATATATGGTCATGTCTGATGTGCGATGAAGAGGATCTCTAAAGTGAACAATGAATAATATCTGACAAAACAACTGACCAGTGAAGCCTCAATGCATGCAGGAAAGCAGACAGGCCCTCCATGAGGACCAGGATCATAACAGTCAGCCCGGCCCATATTTGGAATATGAAGAACAGAACTATAGAGCCCCAGGCACTGCTGAAGCTGCGGAGGCCAATCCTCAGAACCATCTCCCACAGGACCTCTGATAATTCTGCAAACAAACATTTCATGTTTAAAGACACTTTCACCTGGATGGAGTCAAAGAAAACACAGCCACCTGCAGATTCTTTTCCCTATGTGGGTTCCAGGGCTCCTTCCCGGAAAAAAAAAGAAGAATAAACCCACAACCGCCCCCAACAAGCATGTCATAGGAGGCAACTAATTAGGGGTGATCACTTCAAAGTCGGAGTGCATCATCCTATTTATTTATATTTTTCTTTTCCCTCTACACAATGGGGCCCCGGAACCCACATATGAAGAACTTACATCCATTAACTATAAATGAGAGCAAAAATAAAAAGATATTTTTCAGGCTTGAATGTGAGCGTATAACCATTAAATAAAGGTATATAAGCCTGAACACACAGCCTGAATTTTAATTTATAACTATAAGAAATAGCAAATTTTTCAGCCTTAAATGTGAACTTACAACCATTAACTAAAGGCACAAACAATAACTTCTTGGCCCTGAAATATGAACTTACAACCAATAACTATAAGCACAAACAATAACTTCTTGGCCCTGAAATATGAACTTACAACCAATAACTATAAGCACAAACAATAACTTCTTGGCCCTGAAATGTGAACTTACAACCATTAACTACAAGCACAAACAATAACTTCTTGGCCCTGAAATATGAACTTACAACCAATAACTATAAGCACAAACAATAACTTCTTGGCCCTGAAATATGAACTTACAACCATTAACTACAAGCACAAACAATAACTTCTTGGCCCTGAAATGTGAACTTACAACCAATAACTATAAGCACAAACAATAACTTCTTGGCCCTGAAATATGAACTTACAACCAATAACTATAAGCACAAACAATAACTTCTTGGCCCTGAAATATGAACTTACAACCAATAACTACAAGCACAAACAATAACTTCTTGGCCCTGAAATATGAACTTACAACCAATAACTATAAGCACAAACAATAACTTCTTGGCCCTGAAATATGAACTTACAACCAATAACTACAAGCACAAACAATAACTTCTTGGCCCTGAAATATGAACTTACAACCATTAACTACAAGCACAAACAATAACTTCTTGGCCCTGAAATATGAACTTACAACCATTAACTACAAGCACAAACAATAACTTCTTGGCCCTGAAATATGAACTTACAACCAATAACTACAAGCACAAACAATAACTTCTTGGCCCTGAAATATGAACTTACAACCAATAACTACAAGCACAAACAATAACTTCTTGGCCCTGAAATATGAACTTACAACCAATAACTATAAGCACAAACAATAACTTCTTGGCCCTGAAATGTGAACTTACAACCATTAACTATAAGCACAAACAATAACTTCTTGGCCCTGAAATGTGAACTTACAACCATTAACTATAAGCACAAACAATAACTTCTTGGCCCTGAAATGTGAACTTACAACCAATAACTATAAGCACAAACAATAACTTCTTGGCCCTGAAATGTGAACTTACAACCAATAACTATAAGCACAAACAATAACTTCTTGGCCCTGAAATGTGAACTTACAACCAATAACTATAAGCACAAACAATAACTTCTTGGCCCTGAAATATGAACTTACAACCAATAACTATAAGCACAAACAATAACTTCTTGGCCCTGAAATATGAACTTACAACCATTAACTATAAGCACAAACAATAACTTCTTGGCCCTGAAATATGAACTTACAACCAATAACTATAAGCACAAACAATAACTTCTTGGCCCTGAAATATGAACTTACAACCAATAACTATAAGCACAAACAATAACTTCTTGGCCCTGAAATATGAACTTACAACCAATAACTATAAGCACAAACAATAACTTCTTGGCCCTGAAATATGAACTTACAACCAATAACTATAAGCACAAACAATAACTTCTTGGCCCTGAAATATGAACTTACAACCAATAACTATAAGCACAAACAATAACTTCTTGGCCCTGAAATATGAACTTACAACCAATAACTATAAGCACATACAATAACTTCTTGGCCCTGAAATATGAACTTACAACCAATAACTATAAGCACATACAATAACTTCTTGGCCCTGAAATGTGAACTTACAACCAATAACTACAAGCACAAACAATAACTTCTTGGCCCTGAAATATGAACTTACAACCAATAACTATAAGCACAAACAATAACTTCTTGGCCCTGAAATATGAACTTACAACCAATAACTATAAGCACAAACAATAACTTCTTGGCCCTGAAATGTGAACTTACAACCAATAACTATAAGCACAAACAATAACTTCTTGGCCCTGAAATGTGAACTTATAACCAATAACTACAAGCACAAACAATAACTTCTTGGCCCTGAAATGTGAACTTATAACCATTAACTATAAGCACAAACCAACTTACGAGCATGGGCTAGTGACAAAGCCCAGAGACGGAGATATGACGCTGTGTGAGAGATACATCCCAGGCAGAACTCTATGGTGTGGATAATTTGGTGGATAAATATCTCGCTGAGATCAGTGTGCTGGATAAGTTGTGAATAAAAGTGACAAAATAATTTGGTGTTATATGGATAGCTTCAATTAGACGTTTACAAATCTTCTTCTTCTTCGTGTTCACTGGCCTCAAACTCTGACGGAAAGTTTTGCTTGTTCAGCCACTTCTGGACTCGAGTCCTGTTTCAGAAACTGAGTGTTGCGTGCATATCCATTTCACATGTCTGACTTATTTGCATGCAGAATGTTGGTTCCTTGCCTCCCAGGCAGATGTGCTTCGACTTGGAAGGAAGCTCCCGTCAACTGTTACGACATGCTTGTGGGCAGGCAGTGGGTCTATTCTTGTTTTCCCCACAATAGGGCCCTGGAACCCACATGGTGAACGTTTACGAATTATAATTATAGTCAACTGTTATGCTACACAGGTTTATATACTCATCATCATTTTCTTCTTCTTCTCCATCAGTGTCACCCCCTCACTAGAAGTTAATTACAATGAATCAAAAATCCTCTTTGTCCTGTGTCTTCTTCTTCCCTATCTCCCAATGGAGCATAGGCCCTCAACTAACTCAACTAAGTTGTCCTATCATTTGCTATCACATGCAGTTACTTGATTTTTTGTCACTATTACTGTTTTTTTCTTTTCTTTAGGTCTGCTTGTACTCCTCCAGATTCCAGTGCAAAGACATTCTAGTCATCATGTTTTCCGGTTTCCTCAATGTGTGTCTTTCATCTATGTCTTCATGCAATTATGCAGACTTCACTTATGCACTTCACTCATGAATCAAATCTTCACGGCAGGGTGAAGTGACTAGCTGTTTTCCTCACTCACCTGGACTAGATAAGCTGAGAGAAGAATAACTAAACATTTCTTATTAGGCTAATTGTCAAAACTAACGTTTTGGGAAATGATATTTACTGTCAATGCAGAACTTTCATGATCAGCAAACATCAACAATGACAAGACTCATCAATATCTTTTTCTTCAAATTCACCAGTGTAAACTCTGACAGAAAGTACTGGATGTTCGTCCACCTATGGACTTCAGTCTTGTTTCAGAACCTCACTGTTGTGTGCACATCAGTTTTACACACCTGGCTTATCTGTTTGTAGACTGCTGGTTCCTTGCTTCTCAGGCAGATGCACCCTGACTTCAAAGGAAGCCCCTAATTATTTGACTCTTATGACATGCTTCATGGAAGGGTGGAAGGGGGGGGGGGGGCGGGCAGTGGGTCTATTCTTGTTTTCCCCACAATGGGGCCCCGGAACAGACATGGGGAAGACATCAATATTATAGGCCATCAGTGACCAGAGGTCATGAACTCACCTCTTCTTGTACCCCAGCTTCACTGTGTAGTGGTCCATTGCTCTCTGTGTTGTGAACCACATCGCCAGACTCCAACAGATCCCCACTGTTCACAGACAGAGGCTGATGCTTGAACTGTCAACATACAAGTATTCAGGAGTCAACAGACTGGGGAATTTTGTGGGCATCTAGGGCAAGAAGTGCACTGACCATCAGAAAATAACATTAACTCACTTCATGAGCTGATGACTGGCAGCTTCATCCATTAGAAAATCAATCAACAAATAACATGAACTCACTTCATGAACTGATGAAGGCTTTGTAGCCACAACGTTCACTTGTCGTTTGTGACTGTGATAATGAGAAGCTGACCAGTTCTAATTTTCATTTGGTTTGGTACATTTTTATGAACAAATAACCTTGTATCCTAAATACCTAAGCTTTGTCACAAAAATTAAGCAACAACGTCTAGCACATAATGACTTTCTCAAACATGCCCATTTAACAAAAAATAATTCAACCATGACTACCACATAACAACTACCCAACAATGCCTACCACACAGTAAATTACTCAACCATGTCTTATCACAGTTAACTGAGTAGCTGTATCAGTTAGTGAAAAGTAAAAGAACCACCCCCAAATTACCCACATGTGCGTATCATGCAAATACCCAGAGTCACCAATTAGTAATTAGTTTAAAAACATAATAATCAATTAGCGAACAATCTTGTCGCTCAGATTACTCAACCATGTCAAGCATGCAAACCCCTGTATAGCATAATTGATTATTAAAAGAATCAGTGAATTATCAGTCTCTCAAATCACTCAAAGGGTGCCCATCACAAAAGTACCCTCAGTAGTTCTATCACCCAGAGGATTAGTTTGAGTGATTACTTAAGCAAATTATACCGTCACATACTATCTCTGGTATACCAAACAATCAATACAGTACAAAAAGGGACAGGACATCAGCAAGGGAACTGGTTAACCTAATTATGCCACAAACTAGCGTACATGAAACACCTAGTATTTCACACTTTCTATGCTAGTTAGTGTTGCTATGTGTAATGTGCTCATCTAGGGGTATGTGTTGTTTACATTGCTTTCAGACGAACAGTGAGTTGAAACGACACAGCATGAACGAATATTGAGTTCTTTGCTTTTATTCGTTGAATCGCCAGTTATCGCAAGCATACATTCACGCTTCCTCGTGCTCGTCTTGGTTGGCTGAATTTAGCCACCTGGTCGGACTTCCCACACACTACAGGAATTTATCAGCGTCTCTCGAACCATCCATCTATACTTCACGAACTCTGATATCTGACATTACGACGTATGGAAAAACATTCAGTCCTCCTATTGAAATATAACGTTCACTTCACAAATCATTTATTCTTCTCAGGCGTTCATTCACGCGTCCTCTCTCAGTCAGGGCCGAACTTCAACTGTCTTACTTCAGTCTCTCGGTTCACGTCTTCCGTTCACGTCTCATGTTAACATTATACCTTTTCAATTTCCCTTTATAGGAATAATCGTATATGGGTCACGCCATTCGATACATAGTTCATCTGACTTTTGGTAGCAGCCCACTTCTTGACCGGGTTCGAAGGCCATCAGTTTGGTACTTCTATTTGCAAACATTCGCTGCTTATGTTGTGTGTGCACCTGTCTTTTTTACTTCACATGTTACTATTATTTTTGATATAACTAATACATCTTTATGACACACTGTAATGGGTGGTTTCTAAATATTGTTATACCCGATATATGATAATTAATTCCGTGCTAATGTATACAGACCCAATTAAAACTGTTTGATTAAAGTGGACTGGTTTACCTAATATCACAATATATTAAAATAATCTGCTTACTGTATGTGACTGCTGTCACCGACAAGTTATATGTGTAATCACAGAATGAGGAAAGTGTTTAGAATAAACCATGTGTAGAAGCAATAGTTTTAGTAGTAGCAATGCAAGTAGTGTAACACTTTTGAGAATTTGACAGCTTTTTATAATCACCAAGACTTGTGAATTGAAGTTTTTCCGACTAGGATATCCAGTCACCAAAAGTTGCACTATTTGAATGGCATAAATAGTATAGAATAACTCTAAGTTCTTTGTCTGGAATGTCGTCAAAACAATCTGCCATATAGTTAAAATGAAGTGTAGTATCCACATCCAACCATGTGTATAATGTGATGCATTATTCTGACGTTTCTGTACATGGTGTTTCTTTTGTGAACTGTCATGATACTTTTTTGTTAACATATCGTATCGTTTCTTTGTTTCAGGACTCAGCGATTTGCAATATTTTTTACAACAATCACAGAGAATAGAATGTTTCATTTGATGTATATCTACACTGTGTTTTGTTTCTGTGTTGTTAGTGTTTTCAGTTACTGTTGTTTTTGTTACCACACACTTTTTTCTGCCAAGCTTAGCTTCTGTCTTTGAAGGCTGTTTATTCTTGCATCCTTCGCTTTCATTCATTTCACTTTTTCTCTTTCTGTGCTGGGCTTTGTTACGACTGCTATTCTTCTTGCTTTCTCTGACACGTTCTTCTTTGGGGTATGGAGTGTTACCTTTTGCATCTTCATTCTCACTTGGGTTGACACTCTCACTGGGATTTGGAGGGTTGTCTTTCGTAACCTTACTCTCACTCACATTACAGCATTCTTTGGGATATGGGGAGTTGTCTTCCGTACTTTCATTCTGACAATACTTTGGAATATTTTTTTGTTCCCAAGCTACAATGTCCCTGTCGGTTACTGTTCTTAAATCTTCCCTGTTTCCCAAAATCAAATCAGCACAAGGGGATGGTAATACTGCAACAGTTATGAACTTTTCTAAATATGGTGTTTTAACAAACACGTTAGCAAGTCGATATCTTTCGATGCTACCACCAAAGGTACGACAATTGATGTATTTGTCTGTTAAATCTTCTGGTCTAATCAGTCTTTGATGCACTCCGGAAATAGATGCACCAGTGTCCCTAAGGAGTGATATGGTTTGCCCATGGATCTGACCTTTCTGAAATTTCAGAGTACTGTGGCCGTGTGTTGCCAGATTAGCGTTCTGAATGGGTATCAGGTGTCCACACGGTAGGTTGCCTTCCTTATGGAATTTAGAACATATTTTACATTCTTTTTCTGTTTCGTACATGGTAGCTGAATTGGCTTCAGCTGAATCGCTTTCTGATTCATCATCTGATGTTACACATACTACATGTGCCTCCTTGAATCGTTTTATAGCAGGACAGTTACGTCTGGTGTGCAAATAACATCCACAAATATAACATTTTACTGCATTTTCATACCTCTTTAACTTGTTTTTTCTATGAGCAATCACTTGTTCGATTCTTTCATTAAATTGTGGGCTTTTATCACAAGGTGCGTCGTCACCATGTGTTTTGTTACAGTGGTTGCAATTGATGGTCTTTACCTCTTTTTTGCCATACCTAAAGTTTTTGTTCTGAAATTTCTGTTGGTATGGTTTTGCATAGGCTGCTGCTCCCACTTCTATCAAATCAGAACTTGATAGCACGAAGATATCAGGGTGTGCTGCAAAATAATTTTCACCTACTTCTTCTAAAGAATCTAAATTTGTTGGCTTATTTTCCTTTAGGAAAGTTGCCATTGGCTGTGGAAGAGATTCTAACATTTTACATCTTAACAACAAATCAACCAATAACTTATAGTCATTTTTTACATTGGCTGCTTCAACCCATTTTTGGAATATGTTCTGCACTTCTGACAGATAGTCTGCAAATGTTTGACTACTTTTTGGTCTCAAATCGTTGAACTGTTTTCGGTAGCCAGCTTCGTGCAGGTTGTAATGCTTCATTAACCTTTCTTTGATATAGTTGTAATCTAGTCTTTTGGTTTCCGGAATTGTTTCCAGAATCTTTAAAGGTTCAAATGCCAGGTGTTTTTGAAAGATTAAAGCGTAGTCTTGCAATGGGACGTTATGCATGTGCATACCTAGTTCGAAATTGGCTATATACGCTCCGATGTCGTCTTCCTTGCAGTAATTTCGGACTATTCCTGCATATTTTGAATTTGTTCTCTTCTGCTTTAATTCTCTCTTTTTCTATGGCTGCTTCTCTTTTTGACTCATTTTCCATTTCCTTTGTTCTGATCTGAGTTTCTGCTTTTTCTTTGTCAGCTTGTATTTGCGCCTCTAACCTCTGTTTTTCTAGCTGTAATTTTTTCTCCTCAATCTCTTTTTGTTGTAGTAGTTCCATCTGTTTCAATTCAGCCTCTTTTTCTTTACTTTCCTTTTGTTGTAGTAGTTCCATCTGTTTCAATTCAGCCTCTTTCACTGCTTCTTTCTCTTTGAGACGTAGTTCGTGTTCACGCACAAGTCTGCGTTCTTCTCGTTCTTCTGCTGCTTTTCTCAATTGTTTTTCATCCACATACTTTCTTAACTCGTCGCCCTGAAGTCCTAATTCTTTACCAATGGCTACCCATTCCGCCATTTTTTGACCTGTAGATGTATACAATATTCCTGTACAAATATAACAATTACAAATGCGTTCACAAATATCACGCTTAATAGCAATATAATCACCACCAACAAAATTATTATGTGATATATAATCACTATGTTTAACCGAGTAGTTTTCTACCTACTCAGAACAATAATATCAAACTATGAACTTAATTACTCAACTTTTAAAAAAAAATTATTATGGCTCCTATCGAGCTAAATCACAGTCTTTTCTACGGATCCTCCTTTTCGCTATAGCACATTTCTAGGGTTTAACGGAAATATATTGAACGAGTCTCTTGTAGATCGCGTCGTGCAATTGAATCTTCCGGTTGGTAATGTCACTTCATTAATTGGCCACTACCCGTCTGAATTCATATTGCGGTTCATTATGGAAGTAGTGTACTTTTTTGAAAAATAGCGGCACTCGTCTATAAATTGAACATGGGTGTCAATCTGAATAGTTTATGGAAATTTTCTGTCTGTTGTAAAGACTTGAAGGAAATCACAGGAAACTGTTCTGCACGTATACTTATGAACCGTTCTACACTGTGCTACAGATGTTCATATATCGCTGTTTCGCTAGCTGTATGTAAGTTTGGATATGTGGATAATAGTCAGCTGTCCGCTTGACCAATGTCA